CTGAACTCGTGGCTGACCTCTTTCATATCCTAACGTCATCGCAAATGCCCATGCTTTTTCGTACAATACGCTTCGTAGTCGCGATGCTGTCCTCGAGTTCCAGCTTTCTGTTTGCACTCTGGTCGCCAATCAGCATCGTTATAAGCCTAAACACACATATGTTGCTGTTTCGATTTTTGCGGAGCAAGAATGTTGGTAGTTGTAACATACGAAGCAACATGAAAATTAAGCTTCTTTAGCTGACAGTGAAACGTCTCTGAACAGCAACACCATCCATCGATATAGCTCTTCTATTGGCTGTTTTTATTGCAATCTATCTGCTGCGAAGTCAAGCTGCCCAATTTATTGTTTCTGACACATACAAAATCATTCGCGTGATCAGCTTCTTCAAGGTGCCTCAGTATCCAATTTGCTAGTTCATATTGTTCTTCGTCGGCTGGTGAGCTTTTTGCTGCCTTATGTACCGCAAAGCAGACATCCGGCCGTATGCACTTGGCAATCCACATTCAGCAACCCACCAGAGACTAAGCCTATTTAACGTCGGCTAGCTCCTACCACCTTATTTAATCAGCAGCTCAATCCTGCCCACCTTTTAATCGCCCCAATATTCTGATCATGTTGAGCTAGTACCGCTTATTTTGTCATACAGACTTGGCATTTCTCACTTCATCACGAATCTTGACGTTGTAGCCGTCCTTACCTTGCGTATAAAAAGTCGATGTACACCGTGTCCGGCGACTATAAAACCAGGAGCTTGTCTAGATCCGGAGGGTTCTTTATGACTTATCGCAACGGCGGCCTAGCTTTTGAATTTGCCTTCGTGGGGTCCAGTCTAGTAAGCAGGACGCAAATTTCGCCACATAGTCCCAGAAACATGAGAACAAAAATTACTCTTCGCAATATGTGCATAACTGTGGGATGCGTTATGCCCACTTTTCCGTTTCTCGCTTCATTACACAGTTATCTGATTTGCGTTGCTATCTCTGCATCATTCAGAACAAATCTAGTGTCTTGTATTTTCCGCCTTAAAAGGTATTTAATACGCGTAGGTGGCACTTGAACAGTCGCTCGAAATCTATCAATGAAGTATCTGCGACGCTGCAACTTTGGTTAATGCCAACAAACCCTTACAGTGGATGGTTTTGTAGCCAATGAAATTGACTCCAGTCTGTCTCTCGACGTCATTGATCTTTTGAGGTGCAAAAAAATCAATTTAAACCGCGTCAATTGGCGCGTTATTATCCGTGTCTTTTCTCGACTGTCAATTCTTCGATTGCTATATTGTGCATTCATTTAGCGACTCGCTCTCACTTGATCCGTAATGTGATTCTGGTTGCCAATCTCAGCCACTGTTTTATCGATTTTGTAAACACCGATATGATAACATTCTAAGAAAACTCATTCTGTTAGTCCTCAAACATGTGCCACGAGCATCGAAAAATGTATCAGCATCGGACACCACAGATCGTCCGTGTGCCGTGATCACGACTCGCTGTGGGCCGAAATCGGATAGATAAACTCACGCTTTTTATAAGAAACAATGTCTTTTCTATAAGTTTTCTTGCTGCACCTTTGACAATCGCACATAAATCTTCCTGCCCAGCACCGATTTTATCCTCTCCGAGCTGACTTTTCTTGTATCTTTAACTCTCTCACCTTGACCACCACGAACTTTCTACCAAAGTCCTCAACACAATTTAGCAAGCGCGAGCTATTCCGTAAACTTGATTAGCTAGACTAGTCAATCTTACACGGTTCGGCATTACAACCGATCAGAGCGATTGTCGCGTTCACCTAATCGGTCAGATCTTGAACTTGCTTGCACATCCTGTCTCACAGCTATATATAGCAGTCTAATACGGTCCTTGGATCCTCTCACACCCAATCTTAAAATCCGTGGATTGCGCGAAGTGCAACAGCTCTTCTGCAGTCCATCCGCACCATGTTTAGCCTCACCTGAGGTTGGTAGAGAGTTATATCGGCACAATTTCATCCGCACCCCCCACATGCTACACTCACTAATCTCGAATCGCCAATTGCGCTATTCCTTCTAGGTCAATCGAGGTTAGATTCCTTTATAGCATCTCTAGTTGATCCAGTAAAGTACTTTCGATGTATCTCATCTTCACGAGTTAGCATTCCTGGAATCAGTCATCGGCTAGATATCGGCAGCGTTTTGTCTAAGCTTCTTCTTCTACCAAAGATCTTCAAGTTTCGCGCCGGCAACATCTTGGTGTAGCCTTAGCATTTCGACCTCTAGCGGATATCACAATCCTTCAAGTCGTTTTATTGCAATGTTATATTTATTAAAGACAGTATGTCGACCAATAAGTCG